TCCTCAGCATTTCTTGGTTCAGCTGTTTTCGTACACAGACAGGGTGAAGGTTGCTCTCCTGTACCGATCTCTCTGATTTTATTGCAGGTAAAAGTTTGGATGTTTTCTGTTTGAGTGGCTGAGGGGGAGTCTAAAGTTAGTTTCTGCCTTGAATGGCACATTTTCATTAAGGACTTCTCAGCAGCAGGATGGAAAACACTCTCCTCTTTGTGCTCAGGAGTCAGTCTGTGAGGAGCTCATTGAGGAAATGCTCACACCCACAAACATTAGACCCAGGTCTGCTCTCAGGTTCAGTGAGAAGGGAGGTGAGTCAGAGATGAAGGTCTCTAAACAGGAGTCTGTTACGTTTTATTGTGGAAAACAAGTCGGCATCAGAAATGGAATGAAAGGGAATAAAGCCGTGCTCTTAAACGAGAAGAAGGCGTGCCCAACGGGGAGGATGTTCTCCTGAAAAAATACGACAGCCTCAGAAAATCAGCTTTGATTAAATACACAATCGAAAGCATCAGAAACACACAGTAGATTTTTTTTTTTCTACAGGTTTTTGGCTTTTCATTGATTTATGAGCCTCGACCTATAGAAGACTGCTGACTCAGCACATTTCATTTTGCTTTCTTCCAAACTCGGCATTGGACGGTTGCATAAAAGATGCTGTGACTTCAAAAGCAGCTAATTGGTTTGGTTCATGTGTTCAGTAACTCAGGATGGAGTGCTGAGGCAGCTGAGGAAAGACCCCCCACCCCACACACACACACAGACAAACACGCTTTTTTACAAACTTAAATCTCTGTTTCAGTACAATTCAGAGAGAAGATGAAAAGGAAGGATAACTGATAAAAGATCAGCTAATGGATAGTTGAAGTTTTTAAACTTCATAATGACACTACTCTACTCTAGAGTTGTACTCTACATCTCTGTTACTTCATTATCTTTATACTGTAAGATTGTATATATTGCATATATTTCATATTATTTTCTATGCAAAGTTTTGCATTCCTATTAGGGCTGAAACAATCTGATTAATCATCATTAATCGATTATTGAAATAATCGTCAACTTAGTAATCAATTGCTCGTTAACTGGAGTATAGAGACTGTAAAACATGCCTGTAGCTGACAGAGCGACACACTTACAGCAGGAATTATATCAAAATTGTAAAAAAAATTGTATAAATATTTTGCATTTAAGATGGGGAAAAAAATAGTCAGTCTGCACTATCCAGAACCGAAATGGAAAAGTTTTAGTTTAACCTGGTTTAATTTCCTAAAAAAAAAAACGACTTTAAGAAACCTTTGGCTATCTGTTTATTAATCAATTAATTGGAAAAATAATCGACAGATTGATCTATTTGCAAAATAATCGTTAGTTGCAGCCCTAATCCCTCTATAGGTCATTAAATGCTCTGAGGATGAGAAATATCAAACATAGAACAAAAGAAAAACACATTTCTTGAAAGAATTTATACTATAAAGTTAATGACAAGTTGTTGTTTTTTTTCTGTGAAGTTTCTTCTTCATTACCATTTTTAACAAATTTCAGTATAATGGAGGATTTTTCATGAATCTTATAAAAGACCTGCCCTCTCCACTTTAAAAAAAAAATGCACATGCACAGCCCTGTACCCGCTACCAAGAGGGAACGCCTATTAAACACGTGTGAGGGCGTGCAGCCCATTTCTCCTCGTGCACGCTCTGTTTAAAGTTGCTGTTTTCATCGCTCATAGAAGCTCACTTTCCAAGAGAAGATTTGATTTTTTTCCACTATGTCAGACTCGCCACTGGTAAGTGAAAATGGGGACGAGCACGTAGGACGGCCTTACATAAACATATCACCAGGATGATTGACAATTAGGAGGACCACTTATTTAGATGATCCACCTGGAAAAAGAAGATCTTCCACTATACCTTTAAGTAAGGAATATAAGGCAATAAGCGATGGCAATTACATTTCACCCCAGATGTCCTCCCATTAACAATGTTTATTTGATTTTATTAGAAAGAGTTGATGTCACACTATGTTAGATGACAGCCATTCAGAAAGCAAAAAATGTAGATTTAATTACCCCCCGTAAGGCTGGTTTATGCTTAGAAACCCGGTTGTCTGCTTGTGTCGCAGTTAACGCAGATATGCCCCGCCCCTTCCGCCTCTTCCTGCTGCACCTCTCCAAAATTGTATGTGATCGCAGACAGTGCCGCAGACAGGAGGCCTCTGATTGGTCAAATCTACATCCGCTCTACACTATGCGTGTTTCCTGTTTGGTACCTTGCCGGCTTGTTTTGTTTGTATGACCGCCATTGTGGAAAATGACTCGTGAAGATGGACCAGCTAGAAGAGCGAGGTGCGTGAGAACGCTGGGACCCTTTTTCCACCTGGATCCCAGCTCTTTTTCACCTTCATATCCCTCCGTTTTCGCACAAACTTGTCCCCACTTCCTCGCCTCCTCACTATCTAGACCCACAACTTTAGATGTCATGAGCATCCTCCTGTAAAGATTAGCCAGTTTAGCATCCTAGCATAATGCTAACAGGCTCTATCATATGTACCTGGCTGGTAATGCAGATCCTTACTTTGACTCTGGGGTTTCTATAAAGCTGCTAACATTTCCAAATCCAGCAATTACAGCCTGAGGTCCAAAGCTTTAAGGGATAAAAAAAAAAAAAAAAACACTTTATAGTGTGGTCATCCTTCCCGTTATCTGCTGAGATTCTCCCTCTCTCCTGTGGAAACCTTAGATCTGTCTTTTTGCACCACTGAGCTTTTAGCGAACCGTAATTAAGCCTCTTTAGAAACAAAGTGGATTGTTTTGAACAAAATGACCTTATTGAGTTTAACCGATCATAAATCAATGCTGTTATTTGTTATTTATATACAGGCCAATTCACATGCAATCTCAAGGCACTTTACAGAGATGGTTGAATCAAACCATACAGATAATCAGTCATTTAGTTTGGAAATAATCCTAATGTTTCAGAATCCTTTTGCCTCAGAGGTCCAGATTTCTGTCTTCTTGTCTTTAGATGCTGGATTTAAATTCTTGAAGCTCACAGACCTGCATGGTCTCTCAGGGACAGGAGGATACTGAGTCGTGTCACATGGCTTTGAAGGCATGTGTCGAACGTGGCCCTCAAAGACCCAATTAAGCAGGCAATGTCAATCAGGCCCAGTAGTTACTCATTCAGGAACAGCTGAGAGACGAGAAAACACCTGCTGTTACATCACTGCCTAGGAGGATTCCAGACGAACAGCATGTTTGACCTTTTTTTGACCCATAAGGAAATGATTCTGAAACCGCTCTGTCATTGCATCACACCGGGACGTAAAACATCCTCATGAGTCTCAGCAAGAGAAACAAGGCCTTGAATCTGCAATCTCAGAAGGGATCGATAAATTTAACGACAACCGAATGGCAGAGAAAGCAAAACGCTGAGGGGTTGATCTTTGGGCTTACAGCAGGTCTGCTTTGCTGTTTGGAAATTCTTTAGAGGTTATATCAAAGCTGGATGATGTTTAACAGCAGCGTCTTTTTGTTTTTTACCCACCAATTTCTCCATAAATATGCTCTGATTTAACTCTATAAGCATCCAGCTTGTTTAGTTATACCCTTTGTGGCTTTCCGTCCTCGTAAACGTTGTTAGTGACTCAATGAGTTTATTAAAATGCTCTTTTCAAAAAACTAACAAGTTTTATAATATTCTAACTCACAGACATTTAATTTAAGATTTTCATGGCATGTAAGCTATAATCCTCCATATCAGTGCTTAAAATATTTCTCCTATGTAATGATGATTTTGATATGCATTTCCCCACTGAAATGATTGAAAGGCAATACTGAACTTTTGGAGTTTCTATTTATTTAGTTTTTCTTTTAGATGTGACTGGAGGTTTCAAGTCTAAGATAAATATATTTTTCTTAAATAAGAGTAAATATCTCTCATTTGACAAGATAGAAAAAAAACGTAAGTAATTTTTCACCTATAAAGAAGCAACCGCTCAGACATCAGTGATGTTTTTTCAAATCAGTGTGCATTAAGTTAAGGATGTCCTAAAATACAGCTTTAGTTTACTTAATACCAACACTACAGGTCTATTGACTCCAAAAGGTTTTACTTTTTTAATCTTAAACACATCTGACATATATAGATAGATATTCTTTTGGATATAAAAATTTGTATATCAAGAGTTTATTTCTATTCAGTTTGATTACTGTTTGTTATTTAAGATCAACATTTCTTTTTCTAAGGAAGCTAATAAGAGTGGAAAGTTGGTCAGAAGGAAAAAGTGGTGAACAAAAAGGTACGCGTAAAGTCTTTTTCAGAGGTTGGGGGGACATTTATTTGCTTATTTTTAGGTCCTCTATGTTTTATCATGTCCAAAATTAGCGCCACCATCTTGCAGGAAATTTTAGAGCGCCTCATGCTTCGTCTTGGTGACAGGTTTTATAGAGATTCTAGTATATTTTTTTTTAAGCTTGCCCTAACGGTTTTCTAAGGTATTAAAGCTGGGTTTACTCTCCGTAGTGTTACTGCACTTGATAGACCAGCAAACTTGTTTGACTAGAGACAAAATATGGAGTTTTGCTAAGAAGAAGATGAGAGACAGCAGACCCAACAAAGCAGGTTAGCTGAAGGTTGCTATGAAGATAACGAGGGCTTCCATTACACCTCAGCAGAACCTCAGGCTGATCCCTTTCACGTCGCGCCACAATGGTACGGTATTCATTTATGCAAACCTAGTATATAGAGAAATAGAAATGGACACATTTTTTAGAATGTCATCATTTGTGTTGGACTTTTTTTATGTGCTTCTTTTATGATGTTAAGACTCTGCAGCCATGTTCATCATATCCCAGTCAGCGCCGTTGTCTTATTTGGCTCCTGACTCATGTGATCAATATAGGAAGCTGGGAGGTTTGTTGACGGGCAGATGGGAAAGCCAGTCATGTGCTGCAGGAAGTGAAGGGAACGTCCATGAACGCAGCTTATGTCTGCAGGCACAATGGGACGGTTCTGCTCCAGAGCTCCTTGCTCAGTTGCTTAGACTCTGGTCTTTTTCATCTGTGGCTGAGGGCGTAAGGACAATTAACCGGATGCAAAGGATGAGTTAGAGGTTGGGTCTGCTGACAAGATGAACCGGGAGCTGGAGTATATGTTTGTTCAAGTAAGTTTTGGCGTTTTTATCAGTCGTGATGGTTAGAAATATACATGTTTAGCTTTAGAGGCAGGTCAGTTTAACAAAAAGTTTACAAGGAATATTTTGGACACCTTTCTGTTCTGGTCAGGGATGCGGTGCCACCTCAGTCCCGTAGCGGGCGCACCCTCAAAAAACGGTAGAACTGCTCGAGTCAGAAGGACAGAAACGTTACTGTTTGGAAAATAAATCCGATTTCGGCTTATAACCTCTACCACTCTTTCCAAACATATTTGAATCAGAAATTGGTTGATTGGTGAAATTGAATCACTGTCGAGGCTTTGTGAGACAAATTATGCTTTTCATTTTTTTCATTTCAGATTGAGATATAATTAATTTATCCTGTCACAGATTGGACTCTATTATTTTTCAATGCATCCTGTGCAAAAGTTGTGTAGTTGTCAACCGTACAAAAGTTACTGCAGCGTCCCGTTCTCCTGCTCACTATAGAGTCAGACCAATAGGATTAGTAACTGGGCAGCATCTCGGTTTCTAAGGTAAAGAGGTCTGGCAGGTACTGGGTCTCATGCACACCATCCTTTCTCCAGACTCGTACGTTTCGTAACCTTCCGCGCGAAGCGAAGTCTCTGAACCTTGGCGTCATGCAGTGTCAGCCCAGCTGAGCAGAAAAACAGCAGATCCTCACATGAGTGGCATCATGTGACGAGGCCTCTGCAGTCTGGGACTCTGTTGACCACTTTGTGGAGAATATCTGATTCACATACCGCTGCTTCTGTCTGGACGGCTCAATCTGACCCTCCTCATTCTAACGTGTCTTAAGGTTTTAATCTGTTTCCACTGGATTCCCTTTTGTCCAAATTCCTTTTACTGCGATCAGCAGAGTTTGTAGAGAAACTTCACTTCAGGCACTTTTAAGCTTTACTTAGATGACGCATGAGCAAACCTTTTTTTCTCTTGAATTCGAGGGCTTCCTTAGAAAAAGAAGGCTGTTCTACTGGTTTCTATTAGATTTTGTTTTCAGAAATGTAGCTGATTTTGATTCAAATGAAGTAAAGTCAGCTTATAATGATGTCAATGATCAGGACTATAGAGAAAAATTCCCATTAAAATATCGGATCATCAAACTTTGAAAATCCGTCAAATAATTATGGGTAAAAAGCAGCATTGCAATGTTGATTTCACTTTTGAGGGAAAAACTATCCCTATCAACCTGCAAACATAATCAACTCAATTATAAAACTATATAAACTGCAATAAAAACATTGTTTGGAAAGCTTTATTTACTAGATGAATAGAGCCTATATGACAGCATGAAGTAGACCAGAAGATCTAAAATAATGCATCTTGCTCCCATCTAAAGAAATTCAACTAAAGATGAGAAACGCCTCCATATATCTCCTTAGAAAGGAGGAGTTACTGAGGCGACGTTCACACAGCAGCCCAAATCCGATTCTTTTTTTTTTTTGCCCCTTAGCGACGTGGATCTGATCTTTTCTTGGCAGTCAATTTCTTCCAATGCGACCCAGGCCACTTGGCTCTCTGGTCCTCAATCCGACGTCAATCTGATGTTTTGCTAATGCGACCTGCATTTAAACAGCCAGGTCACATTCACCCGACCTGTACAACATTAATACCAGACAAAGGTTAATATTCTGCGTCTTGTAACTCAGAAGCAGGAAGAAAAACAACAACCATGGTGGACGATGATGTGTAGAGCAAAGATTGTGTTTTTAAGGTTCGGAAATTTGGCACTGCCATCCATGTTTACTTCCATAAACACTGAGCACGCTGGCTTTCGATGTCATTGCGTTCTCTCCTGCGCATGCTGGACACTTAGATTTTATGAATGTAGTTCACACAGGAGATCACATACTGTACAAGTCGCATATATTTGGAAATGTGAACGGCAATGCAAAAAACGTGAGTTCACTGAAAAATTGGATTTGAGCATTAAGGCCTGCAGTGTTAAAGTAGCCTAAGTCAGTTCAAAGGATCTAGGTCACTGCACTCTGAAGCCACAAGTGTAGAAAACTCAGAGCATTTGAGAACCGAATTTACTATAAGAGATCAATGAGAACTCATTCAGGACCCAGCTGTGGTTTGGTTTCCTTGGGAAAGCAAACAGACGATCCAGAGAAGTGAAGGGCGGGACAGGCGCCTCTCATCTATACCTTTTACAGACATAAGCATGATCTTTGGTCTGTTGATGATTTTCCAACGTTTCTTTATGCCTATTCTAAAGTATCACATTAGAAGTACTTCTAAAAAATACAAATGAATTTACAAAAGTATAAAAGAAAAGTTTTTCATACTTTTAAATTTTTGACTTTTTCAAAACAAAAACAAAAAAGTAAATATGCATAATTTTGAAACAACATGGCTGCACTTTGGTGCAGTTTGTACAGCTTTCGCCTTTCTGGGTCTTTCTGCTTGTTCGATTCAATTCAGTTTATTTCTATAGCCCCCATTCACAACATGTCATCTCAAGGCACTTTACAGTTCACCAGATCATCCAGTCAGATTGATTAAAAATTTTCTATCTAAGGAAAATCGGCTGATTGCATCGACTCATTGACTCGAAGGCAATCCCTCACACTAAGCATGCTTGTAGCGACAGTGGAGAGGAAAATCTCCCTTTGAACAGGAAGAAACCTAAAGCAGAATCCGGCCATCTGCTGAGGCCAATTTGGGTTCTCCTCATTCCTGCGTGGGTTCCCTCTGGGTACTCCAGCTTCCTCCCACAGTCCAAAAACAGGACTGATAGGTTAATTGGCTTCTCCAAATTTTCCTTAGATGTGTGTTTACGGTTGTGTGTCTCTGTGTGGCAACCTGTCCAGGGTGTACCCCCGACTACCGCAGACAGAAACTGGCCCCACTGCAATCCTGATGGAATAAGTTGGATAGATTTAGAAACACATTTGTCTATTAAGCTGTGACATAGCCAATTATTTCCTCAGCGGTTTCCAGCGTCCCATGCTAATCAGGTTTCTCTCCTGACTGCTCCATCATAAAGTTAATCTTGCCTCATTGCAACACATTCATTAAAACCTCGCTCCATCCCTAATCCGTGCTCCGCACTAGTTTGCTAGTACAGCCAAGCATAATGTAAACATGTGATATTACGCTGTTCATCACCTCATTAACTCCCTCCGATGTTTGGAAACATGTCTATTTCAGTTTTCTTTTTTAAAGTTTGCTCAAACTTTGCTAAAGTATTAGGATAAAGAGGCAGCTTGTCTCACCACAATATCCCATGACATTTTTTAGGTAAAATCTAAACATTACACTAGCAGAACGAACACTGGTGTGATGATATGCTTCTATTGTGGTGGAACCCTTCAATAGGTACAATTGGTATGGAAAACCAGAAGGGCCACAAATGGAATAAGTTTAGAAAAGGCAATGTTGCTGTTTGGAAATATCAACATTGTGGTGTAACTTAAAACGCATGCGGAAAACTTAAAATATTTTCATCATACATAGATAAATTATTTGATTATTATTTTAATTTGTAATTATTTACAAATAAGTTCTATATTCTTGTTTGTAGCAGTTTGTTGAAAGGAGTTACTTTTTTCTCTGCCGTACTAATTAACATCAATCTTCCTAGATGAAAGTCATTCATAGATATTTTTATATTAGATGATCTTCAGCTGATTTTAATGAAAGGAAGTGAAAAAACAAACAGAAGCAAATTTGTTGTTCCCCCTTTTATTAGATTTTACCAATGTAATTACGGGATTGATGGATAAATCAATATCTAAAAAACACAGCGGGGATTTTGTGTCACTGAAGTAAGATAATCAGAAATATAGAAGAATAGACAATTATCTGAAGAAAAGAACAAATTGTTATTGTACCTCATCCACATTTTGGATATTTTTTTTATAAAAGTACTTAGCATTATATGTAAATTATTTTAGGAACAATTGGTTTTGTTTTTTTCTTTTAAATTAAAGCACTAAGATCATCCCAATTTCTATCAGTGTTGCTTACTGCAATCATACTTTGAGTTTCTAATCTAACCTCAGGACTCAAGCTGATAAATTAGGGACAGAAAACACTTTTTAAGATGCCACAGCCTTGCCAGGGGACCTTGAGTTCAAGAGTGAAAGCTCCATGCTAATCTTTCTAATCTGCTCTTGACTCTGAGCAGATTTGTAAACACTCCTCTGAGATGCCCCTCCCCGCTCAGCCACAGCACGGCACTGCCAACGCATGAAGCCGCACACAACCAGGTATTGGACGGCTGCTAATGTGCAACTCTGGGACTCGCACATCAAATTCTGGCAGCAGAAATAATCTGAATTGTCTTTTCATAATCTTAGACTGACATTGCTGAAGGAAATTAATGACTGAAAAGAACTATTACTAAATATACAGACTTATAACTGTGGAAAAAAGGTAAGGTATGTTTGATTAGATTAGGTGAAGAGCTTTAAGCTCAGTAAAAACAAACAAACTTGCGTTTATTCTCCAGCTATTTTAGTTTAAACTAGTCTAAATCTTGGATTTTAGAGAGTAGTTGTTTTAGATAATCTCTTTAGGTGATGAGCATGTGGCGTAGTTGTCCATGATAAGATTAGTAGGTGTTAAACCCTCAATTGGCCTAATCACACAATGATCCTTTATCTCAGTTAAACGAGGATTAGCGATGTGTCTCTAGAGCAGCCGTTAAATGCTTTAAGTGACCTTCTGACTCCTCTCTCTGATAGCTTTGTTCATTTCTTTCTGTTTGGTGTTGTCTAAACTTTAAGGAATGATTTCTTAACTTCTTTATGGCACATCAATTGAGAAACTTTTTCAAAATAAGCCACTCTAATAAATATGAAGACTGTGGGAAACAAAAGTTAAAGAAAAGCTGCAAACTAGATGCCGCTGCTGTATTTTGATGTTTGCACTTGACTTTTTTTTGTTTATTGGTTGTTTCTTGTCATAAACTGGTTTTGTTTATTTTCTAAGGATTGTAAAATAGAAATTAGGACAAAAGGAGGAGCTGCGGGTAGAAC